CATTAATTATGTTTGTGCATGCTATCAACTACATCTTTGAGTTATTATATATTGTTGATATAGTTTCCTTCGTCATTTGTGACAAAAATGGGGAGAAATGATGGCATTTTAATTTTAGTAATTTAATTTTAATTTATGGAGAGTTTGTAGTAAGGGGGGATGGTCTTATTGGGAGTTTTTGTTTGCATTTTTTTTTTTTTTAACTTTTTTAATGCTTAACTTGTTTGAGTCTTGATATTTTGTGATATTAATATTTCAGTTGGTGTTTTGATTAATATTAGCATTACTTCTCAATTTAGCTAGCATATTTATGATTGTCTGTTTCAATTATTATATTTCATGTATCACGTACTTTTACACTTGATATTTGAGTTGTTGATTTCAGGAAATAGGTTTCAAGGAATACAAGAGATATGCATTCAGTTTGAGTTTAAATAGATTAGTTTGTTTATACATCATTGACTTATATTGTATAGTTTGGTCACAGAATGCCAAATGGAAAAATTGTTAGGATTTATATTATATTTACAATTCTGTAGACAAAAGGATAATTATAAAAGAATATGATTATTATAAAATAGTTGTAAAAGTCAAGCAGTCTTTTGGAAGGTTGTATAGATTAACTAGAAGTTTTTGTGTTCTAGTATGGAATAAGGAGAAAGAGTCGTCGGATTTACGCTAGTCTGTTGCCTAGCTGATGCTCGAGCGGAAAAAGTAGAATATTGTTGTCCATTTTGTACTCGAAAGACTCGCTTCTCCCTAGCTTGACGCTCGAGTGACGATATTATACGTGAAACCATATTTTGCATTTTTCAAGAGTTCTATCTATATTATATTATCTAAATACTTCATATTATAAGTACTCAATGCCTAATACGTTTTGGTTAGTGGTTGTTCATTATTTTACATCCTCATTACATCAATCCAAGATCCAAGAACACATCCAAATATTGAGATTAAAATTTTGATTCTTAGGATCAATCTACCACAAGTTTGAAAAAAAATATCAAATTCATATAATACAAAAAACCCACTTTCTAAACACAATCAGGAATGTACTTTCTCAATAGTCATCAGAGGTTGTTGAAGATTGAGGGATGTTATACCGCAAGCACATGAAGAGTATAAGAACAAAGTGTTCTTGGTGATCCGTATGAGAGACAATTCCAGAAGATTTGGAACATGTGTGAGTGAAGTACGCTCCAGCGGGTTTTGGAGATTGTAGGGATTAGATCTGCAAGTCTAGTAGATTTTCTAAATTGGATCATACTATAAGTTCTTATTGTCTATAGTGTAAGTTATCGGTTTGGTCTTGGAGTTTTTACACTGTTAAGGGTTTTTTTTTGTCATCAAATCTCGTGTTATTTACTACTCTATTTATTATTGTGGCAATTCAACATAGGATAAACTTAACTTGATTGGCTAAACATTTAGAATAATTAAAAAGTGACTTTTACTTTTAATTGATCATTTTAATTCCGCGTTAGTCACATATTCACCCACTTCTAGATGTTAATTGGATCAAACTCGTAACTTTCAGACTTGATGAGTACGGTTGGATTTTAAAATAAATACTGTTGTATAGAATGTCCTTTGAAACACTACCTGCGAACGCTAAAATAATTTATTTATGTCGACTTTACATTTATAATAAATAAATAATGTTGAATTTGTTGTTGTTTTCCATCCAATACATTTTGTTTCACTTGTATGCTAGCTTAGCATTACTCTAACGTTGTCACTCTACAACATGCATTGTTTGTTTGGTCATGTAGATTACCAAAAATACTCTGGGTCTAAGATAATATTAAAATTATCTAATCATCAAGATTAGAAATCATTGTCTCTTTTTCTCTGGATATAAACAAAGCCAAGAAAGCATTTGTTTGGCTAACCGTAAAAAACTACTCATACATAAGAGCACCTCCAATATTAACATGAATTGTGAGAAAAAAAATGTCGCACTAATGAAATTGACATTGTTAGAATTTTTTTTTTTTTTTTTGTCTAATGTAACATATGTGAGACTCTATCTAGTGACGTGAAAAGAAAAAAATAGACAATGTAAAGAGGACATTCTAGATGTAAAAGTTCCATCGAACAGAATGAAAGAAAATTAAGTTTTATTTGTCTTTCATTATTTTGTTTATTATTTTTCTCTTTCCTATTGCTCGGAGATGAAATTTGAGATATAGCCGGAACCAAATAAAGATGAAATTTGAATTTATCCATAGACATTTATGTCATGTACACGACGAGTCTTATAACTTGCTTGCCACCACATACTACAATATATAGAATGCATTGAAGATACTCTAAGCTTATTAGAGTTAAATAAATTTTTATCTAGTGCTGGTCCATAAATCATTAAGTGGGTACATATGTGTAGATTGTAGAATATGTATACAACTGAATGTGAATTTGTCCCATTATTTAATATTCCCTTGTGTTATTTTCAATCATGTACACTCTAGGAAAGGAATAATCATTTTGTGACAGTGTTTCAATTGAAATGTACATTTGTGATTGAGATTGTGATCAGTAAGAGCATATTCATGCATGTTTGTGACCTCGGGACTGTACGAATGGGTACGTTTGGTCCCGTAGTGAGAGTGATCGATGAGGGAGGGATGAAGATCGGATGGTATATATTAGTGTTCGCATATTATTCGAGAGAGCTATCATTGTCATTATTGAACACCTTCTGATTTGAGACATTGATGTTTAACTTTTATAAGCATAATATATGTATTAGACTGGTATGTGTAAGTGAACTTGGCTTTTTCACTCATCCAAGCATTATCCTAAAGTGGTAAAAACCAAGAAAAAAATAAGCGATATGAAATCATTCTTTACAAAGTTTCGAACTATTCTCTTTCCATACAATTTTCATATCATTAAATAAACCAATCGACAATGCTAGTTGTGTGAAATATAAGAATCTAAAAAATATTAAATAAGTTGCACCAAATTGCTTTTATTTTTGTTGATATGTTAAGTAAATTAGATTCCATGAAGAATATGATGCTCAAACTTTTCAATTAATCATTCCTTAAGATTAGAAATTCTTGAAAAAACTCATAGAACAAAATGTATTCCAATCCCAACACCCGCACGTCCACACAATGGAGTTGTCAAATCCGAGAATAATACAGCTACAAGGAAGAACAAAAGTAATGTAAAATAAGAAGTGATGCAGCAAACCATAAGAAATTCGACTACTATATATGCAATTTACAAATCATTGGTGAAATTAGAATTTTGCTCCAAGACTTGTTGATCTTGTAAATACTCGAGTGTAACGTATTCAACGGTTCATTATTCGAATGAAATGTCAAAATTCCACACAATTGGGAGAAGTTTCGATTTTATTCAATAAACCGCCAAAAGACGGCAAATGTCTAACTTGAGGTTAAATAGAAAAATCTAATCTTGTATAAGACCTAATTTATAACGACCTGGTCTTTGTGCTCAATCCGTTAACTTACGTACTGTTCGTTTTAGGAGAGTTTGAACTCATCCCACCCTTCATGATTTCTATTGCGTCCTTAAGATTTGTACCCATGACATTTTCCTTAAGTAATAGTTTTTTCTATAATAACCAAGTCTTTGTGTCCAAGTCGTTAACTTACATATTGTCAGCTCTGGAAGAGTCTGAGCTCATCTTAGTCCTCATAGATTCATATCACGTTCCCAGAATTCGAACCATTGACCTTTCCCATAAGAAAGACTTATGTTAAATACAATTTGTCCAATTGGTATCAACAACTTAAATCTCTCTTAAGGGGAGATCATGTGTTCCCAATTGGTACCAGGATTTAACTTAAATCTCCCATATGATGGAGGTCTTGGGTTCGAGTCCTGTGGGACACGTCTGAAAATCGTGAGGGGATAAGTGGGCAGAAACCCACCCAGAGCGGACAGTACGTAAGATAACGNAAAAAAAAAATGTCACTCCTCTTTCATCCAAAAGCAACAAAAATAGGGGCGACGAAGGGTTTCTGATTGTGATTTAATGGCTATATTCCTTAGTTCTACATCAAGTGTGTGATAGTGATTACGAGCATATTCGTGTTTGTCACCTTGAGTCCATTCGTTTGAGTACTTTTGGTTCTTAGATAAGAGATTAATTGTGGATGCTGAAAGTTGAGATGGTAATCGTGTTAGCATTGTTAATGATCGAGTGTTTATTATCATTAATCTTTACTCTAATTAATTTTTGGATGATGCTACATGTACATGAAGGTTTACACATTCATTTACACCCGTGTGAGTTGGCAGATTTTGGTACTATCTTGCAACATATTTTCCAACCAACTGCCTGATTTTTGAGGTGTACATTTTATATGTACAAGTAGTTTAATCCTTAATTTTTTTTAATGAATCGAGTGTTTGACATTGTTAACAATTGAATGTTTTCCAGTGTTTATGATCATTAATCTAAACTCTAACATTAACAATCTTTATCATCAGTTAATAATCAAAGATAAAAAAAAAAAAAAAATCCAATCCCAACACTCATGAACATAAACACAATAGAGCTGTCAAATCCAAAATATTATAGCTTTGTGTAAACAATAAAGTTTCACAAGGGGCACTCAAGAAAATTTTAGAACTAGTGCAAGAAAAAAAAGAGGAAAAAAAAAAAATCCAAAAATTCCACTCCCTCTTTCTTTCATTATTTATTGAGTGTTATTTTGTCGTCCCCCCACCCTCACAAAGTGCCTACAATTTGCAAAAGCAGACCACTACATACATAGTACCAAAAATGGGGGAGACAGCATTCCCTGCATGGGTTTCTAAAATATTTCCTTCCTGTACGGCAACCAATATTTAGGTACTTAACTACCTGATAGCAACCTCTGCAAAGGTAGAAAAGAGGGCAAATGGCAGGTCGATTTGATTCGACTGACGCTTGTCGTGTGCCATGAGAAATGGAATGAAAAATGTGTGCTTAATACGCAATACTTGACACAATATGTAAGATAAGTGATAGTGTTTTAATTTAAAATGGCTTGAGCCGTTTTAATGATTTGATGGAGTCGACGTGGCACGGGAATTGCTGACATGAAATCCACGTCGTTCTTGTGTAGAAAGCGGCCCACAATCCTGGTGGCGGGCCTGGCTACACGCATTTCCCATGCTTCAACTGATTCCAAGTCCCTTTTGAGGAAGGCTTCGGTTGCATCCAAACGATACATGCGCCACTCCAATTGATTTCGAAGCCTAAAAATGTTTTGTATGTTTTGTAGTTGGTTACAAGCCAATTTGCAAGTGTTCGCCTTAATTTTATCAATAGCATCCTCAAGGAGCCTAGCCCTCATTTCATAGTCAAGAATTGACTCATTTCGAAAAAATTCATCCAATTCTGGTACTCCAATAGCACGTTTGATCCCACGTGTATAATTCCCTTCAGGGTCGAAAAATTCTCTTGCTTCGTCAATCAAATTAGCGTCCACCATTTGTTCGACTCTTTTGGATACAAATTTGTTAAGGACGGGCATTGATACGTCGACCCATAGGAAACAGCATTCGTACTTGGACTGGAATTCCATGTCATCATTCACCAAAGCCTTGATGTAAGAATTAGACCCTCCAGCAATGATCGGCAACTTACCTTTCCTCGTAATCGAATCGACAGCAGTCGAGGCACGACGAACGAAATCGACGGCTGCGAAGTCCACATCAGGATCCACTATTCCCAACAAATGGTGAGTGATTCCCCTACATTCCTCTTCTGTCACTTTATTAGTTACTATATTTAAGCCTTTGTAAACTTGCATTTTATCCGAATTCACAATCTCGGCCTCGAAACGGGTGGCTAGATCGATCGAAAGTCTTGATTTTCCGGTGCCGGTGGCTCCCATTACTATCACCACCTTGTCCTTCCGGCGTCGTACCGGAATAAATTGATCCATGTTTAACCCCCCGGGAAAATTCACCTGGAGGGGCAGTGCTTGCTTGCAGGCTGAAAATGAGATCCTCATATAAAATTTATACTCCTGTTTCATTTACAAAATTGTCAAATTCAGTCGTACATTATGGAAAAACTGAAAGAAAGAAAGCTAGCTGTCAGGAATTTTCTTTCCAACTTGCACTTGCACTTGCACAGTTGCACTAGCACTAGCACTAGCACAAGAATATAATATCTTTGACCTCCACGTGCATGTTGTATACATTATGATGAACAAGATTTTAATCTCTTTTCCGACTTTAAAATTGTACAGCGCCTCTAACCAAATATGTCGAAGCATAACAATACAGTATCTGGATAGTGCATGGCACGGTGTATGATCAAGAATAATGAACAAGATTTTAATCTCGATACTTTATAGTACTATCTCTCCATCAAATATGCACATATATGCATGTATGTATACCTTTATGCTTGAGATGATGCGGCGAACTGCAGCAGAAAAACGAGCAAGATATTTGTCCGGTTTTCTTTTCTTCGAAAACCTGAGAGAATAAGCACAAAGTTGGGGCAGAAATTATGAAGCAAATATGTGTGCTTTTGTATGTTAATGAGCAAAAAACTTCTCTTATATATACACAGTCAGGAGAATCCGAAAAGGAGAATATATGTCCCATCTTCCTCTTGGAAGCTAATTCACCTGCAAAAAATCAAATGAAGTGGGTTGGTTTGTGCAGGTGAGAAGTGCGAGTGGGAGCCATGCATATATTTCAATAACAAATGCGCAACAGGTGTCATTGCATGATAATTTGTTTTGTCTTTCCCATAATTAATACCTACTGATCATGCAAGAGAGGTTAATTCTTGCATAGGTTGAGTGTACTATGGCAACTTGTTTATGTGATTGAAGCGACTGAGAGAAAAAAGTGCCTAAAATCAAGCTTTAGGTGTGTATTATTGGATATGCATATCATGTTAGACCATTTCAACCTACTCCTTGGAGTGAGTGGTGATACATGTAGTCTTTGACTTTATGCAAAATAATTTGTTTGTCTCGTACTGAAATCTGTCTTACCGTAAACAAAAATCTCAGGTCCGTACATCCGAGAAATTTAATTTCTACTTTGACTATTTAATACGAAAGTGAAAATGGAAGTTCGAATTTCGAATTTCTATGTACAGCCACTTTCAACTTGTGTTTTTTGCCAATTTCATGAAAAATGCATTCATATGAAGTACTTGAATTTTTATTTTCCAACTTATATGGAATTAGAAATTCTTTTTACCTTTACCAATCAAGCGGATCTATTGGGATATGCATATCATGTTAGACCCTTTCAACCTATTCATAGGAATTAGTGGTGAATGGTGATATACTCTAGGTTTGACTTTATGCAAAATAATTTGTTTGCCTCGACCATGAAATCTGAGTTACTGTAACCAAGAATCTTATAATGTTTTCATGGGCAAAAAACTATGTTATGGACTAGAATTAATTGCGTGCGTATTTTGAGTACTCAGTACTCATTAACTATTGCTAAAACTTCACTGTGATTCAAGATCGATGACCTTTTTAACGTAATGAATGCATATTTCCAAAAGTTAGAGAAAACGGTTTAAACCTCCAACTTACTACCTTTTCTCGGATTTTATCCACCAACGGTTCCAAGGTTTTGACACACTCAAATACACAATTGGGAACTTGCCTACAACAAATCCTGTCAACCTTAACAGCCTCTTTTCCGTGCATTGGTGATTTTATTCGACACGAAAATGAATAATTTGTCCTTATTGATGATTTGTCCCGACTTGCCTTAATAGACCTTTAAAACCTTCATCAGGCCCCGAATAGATCTTTTGTGGATAAATCTATTCGTACATATATTTTTGCTCGTTTACTTTTGTGGACAAAATTCTGTACACCAAGCATGATTGATCTTTTGTTACCTTGGCAAAATGAGCAAGTATCTCCAGTTGATCCGCAAACTTTTTCTTATTAAGCTAATGTTTGACCTTCATTTTTTAAAATTCTTTTTCCTCGACGTTCATTTTCAACCAAATATTTTCCAATAAAATAATTTTGTATATGGATTTATAACTTTTTCATATTTTTTAATCACACATTCTCAAAAACACTATTTTCATAAAATTGAAAAAAATTATACCGAATAAAGTATAAGTAGTAAGTACATCCTATAAATTACTTTTTACATATACCACATCATGTTTTCTACTCGACCCTATAGGTACATTTGTATACGCACATAATATTTCCTATATGGATTTGACCAAAAGAAAGGTGCAATAAGGTGAGATCCACCCTTCAACCTAATTATTTATGCGATTATATGTGTATATATAATGAATTAATGATTAGTCAAATAATTAACACATGAGTCAAGGCTCCTAATAGGAGTCCCTTTCAATTCCTTATGTTTCGTTAATTAACCCTTAAACTTTTCTTAATTTGTCATTATCTTGCAATAAATTATAGATCACATTTAGCACTGGGTCCCCGACGAGTTGTTTTCTCAAAAGCAGTGGCTAAAAAAAATTTCAAGTACTGTGGTTTAGATGCTACTTTCATTACAATAGAAGTGAAAGGACATGTTAAATTAATAAAACATTTCATCATTATAAAATTTAATTGAAATATATAGTGCATTGTTTTTGGACGTCGTGATCTAATAATTAATTCCCGTTGACCGAAGATATTAAAGTTTCTGCTGTACGATGATTGATTGTTCGCGACCTATTGCACTATCTACAAAGTGACTTTAGAAGACCTAATGTTACTCGGTGCCCTTTTGGAATGGGACGCAAGTCAAGTGAAGTCAACGTTTGTCTTATACATAACCTTAAATTTCAAGATGAATCTTTGAAGTACGTGTCGAAGATTCTGATAAAATTGTGAGTAAATCACGAGGGTCTAAAATATCCATGATTGGACCTCAAGGCACTTATACCGACATAAGGAGGTAACTCTTGATAAGGTTGAAGAGATCGGCTTTGCTGAAACACGTGGATCTTCCTGATTTTAAAGCATGTGATCTCCTTCGTTCAAACAAATCAAACTTTCATATCTCTCGTGATTATCTTTGAAGTTTCTTATGTTGGGTTTTCATTTCCTTTTCTTTAATATATCACCATTGTATCAAAATTTAATTAAGGACTCGAAGACCACACGATTAATTGTATAATTAAAAAAAAATGTAAAGACAATTATAGGGATGGATTTATAATTAATGATTATGACATGCTTTCATTTTGGGCATACACAATATGTGTCCACGGGCCATAGCTCATAGTATCACTAAATTTTGCTCAATAAAAGTTCATTCCAAACCCAAAATTAATCTCTAATTTTATACCTATTGTGGCACTCATTAGTAGAGAATATTTTTAATAATATCTTGGAGTACCAACTTGGGAAATAATTAATAATATAAGCTTCACTAAATCTTAATTAATTAAATACTAGTCAAACCAAGAAAAAAAAAGTGAGCAAGAAATCTTAATTTGCATAACATTGAAACAAAGTTTAATGGAAGAACCACTTATCAAATTTAAACAATTTATAAATGGTTTAACTATAAGCCCCATTTACTACTTTGCATATCGTTCAATATTCAATCCTTATAAACAAAGCTTCCAATATACATATCACGAGCTCTTGTTGAGGGTGATGTTTATATTTAGGTATATGTATATGAATAGTCTTCACCATTATATGTGGACCAAACATAGATATTTGGTCGTATTTAAAAGCAGCATTTTTTGTTGCATTTCCTAGCACGACTTTGAAGCGCACTCTCTCTAGAAAACTACTTTTGAGTAAGGCCATATACGAGGGTGTTTGGTGGGGATTAAAATTAGATTTTTAGTAGAATGTGATAGAAGTTTTTGAAATGCGTAGTTGAAAAGCTGTGGAACCCATGACAGATGTGGTTAATATTGATTTTTTGACTTTGACTTAGATTAAAATCTGATTTTAATCAGAAACAAACAAGGCCGATTGAAGTGTAAAATTTAATTGATATGAGACGTATTACTTAAATATAGATAAAAATAAACATGACCTATGATACCATTCTAATTAATTTATCTGTAAAGAAATCGAAAAAAAGAGAGAGACGCGTCAAAAGATATTTATGGCGCTTCAAAATCACGTTACTAGTTTCGATTATTTTTCAATACACTTTACAATTTTATCTTCAAGAATCGTGGCATCGATATCTATATATATATAAGCATCTCCTCTTTACAATTTTTCAACACAATTCAAGTAATTTTTTTTATCTCCAAGAATCATAGCATCAATATCAGTAGATTAGGAAGAATGAGCAAGTCAATGATGGCAAATATATACATTTTATAAACAAAGAATCCACCCAACTGTGTTTTGAAGAGTCTCATGCTAAACCATAAGTAAGATAATATACTTATACTACTTGAGAGGCATTTTGTGTTATTTTATTAGTTTAATGAAGGGTCATTTGTTAGTTTGGCTCCACCTTAATTATGATTCTAAATGTCCCCACTTGATTAATTTAAAAAAAAAAAAAAAAAAGTTTACAAGCTCTAGTTTTGTTAGTATCTTTTCCATTTATTGCTATCATTTTTTTGACATATCTTGTACCCATTATCTAGTTAAAGAAACAAGAAATTGTGTGGTGATGTAGCCATCAACCAAGTGGTCTAATTTTTATGATATTGCTTTTGGAATTATTACATATTTAATGAGATGTATTTGATACGACAAATTTAAGAAAATTAGGCAAGCACGAAGAGGATAATTAATTAATTAATTAATCAAGAAGTTAATATCTGGAATGTTTATTTCCTTTGATTCGGTTAAGTGAGTACCAAACTTTTCATCGCTGGAAAAATTATGTCAAGATCCCTAACTTTTGACAAATCAAGCACTTGTGTTCTCTGTAAAGGATTGTGCAACATGTACCTGACAATTTACATAATGGTTTACTAACAGATGATATGACGAGATTTAATTGGATCAAAATCTCATCAATTAGAAGCTGTCACACTTATATTTTGATACATCATCATTACGTAAATAGTCATGTACAAAAAAGTATTTTCCATAAAATATTTTTCAAGTAAACTCAAAATTTTTTCTTACTTTTTAATCACATATTTTCTAGAAATTTACTATTCAAAAACTTATTCTGTCCCCCCCCCCAAAAAAAAAAAAAGACTGTCAAACAGAGCCTTAGTACACATGTTAGTCTTTAATGCATGGTACCATACGTCAATTATCGTATCTTCGACAAATCAAGCACTTGTGTTCTCAATCACTTTTTATGACCTTTAGATCATCAACAATTCATCTTTAGTACTCACGTTAGTCTTTAATGCCTGGTCACAGTCAATTATCATACAAAATTATCGCATGCCTTCATGCAGATTTTCTTTAAAGAGATTTTTGTACAATATTCACCTCTATTTTTCTCCAAAACCTACTTAAAAAGTATAAATAATAAGTAGCAAACAAAGGATAACATTCACTTGTGTACATGGGAGAGATTTATTACACATAGCTATTAGATATGTCAGGCAAATGCTAAAACTGTTCACCGAATATCATAAATGAAGGAAAAATAATTGCAAACTGAAAAGACCAAGTGTATGTTTGGTAAAGCTTTTTGTAGATTATAAGCTGTGAATTCTACAAAATATGTGTATCAAAGTTATGAATTCTACGTAACGAGGGGATAAAAAGAGGGTTGGTGTTGATATTTCGAATGTCCTATACAAAACGTAAGAGAGTGTCCCTCTTT